ATTGTTTTATTGTCGATACCCAACGACTTTATGACTATTTTTTTTTTTTTCCTATTTTTGACCCTTTTTTTATTAGTTACCCTATATTCACCATATAAGTTATATGGTATGCGAGAAGGATACCAACTCATAAACTTTCACAATATTTGTTATACTTCGTATTTCAGCTTGTATTCTTGCAAAAAAAAAAATGTATTTTTTTAAGTATATTTAATTGACCCAATTACATATTTTCAAGTGCATTAGAATAGAACTTTTGTATTCTTAAAAAAACTAAAACTATAATGATAAAAAAATATAAAAAAAACGAATTGTATTAAAAATATTTTAATTATTTCATAATAAATAGTAACAAAATAATATATATATTTATCTGTTTGTTAACTTTTTTATCAAAAATAATATGGTTCTATTAAGTCAAAAATAAAAATACCCAAAAAGAAAATGGAATATATTTAATAAAAAAAAAAGAAAAAAAAAAACAAAAGACTAAATACATTTAAATTAATGAAGTTTTAGCTATTCAGTCTCAAGTACGAAAACAATTACAAATTACAAATTATAAATCATAAAGACGAAAAATTACAATTTTACAACCACAGGAACGAAAATCGTAATTTTTCTCAAACCACAAGAATAAAAATCGTAGTTTACTCTAATTATTATTAAAGTAAACTATGAATTTGGTTCTTATTGTTTGCTGAAAGGAACATTTTATTTCTTATAGGTCTAAAGTTATAAGATTATTCAAATGCGATGACTTCAGGCTACCCGCAAAACAGGTGGTCATCATGGGATTAGTCGGCTCGCATAGCGGGTTTGATATCCAAGTTAATAAAAAAAGTTATAAGATTACCATCGTGATTTATAAAAATGTAGATTGATCTCTTTTTTTAACGTCCGTTAAAAAAATTCGCTAAGCGAGAGACATTTATCGATTTTTTTAGCCAACTAAAATCAATTTTATGATTTCTGATTTGGTAAAAAAAATTGAAAAAAAATAACAAAATGCTTCCTCGTTTAATGAATTTTTTTACTGGTCATTAGAGTTAGAAACAAAATCTATACATTTTTATAAATTACGATGATGATCTTGTAATTTCAAAACCACATAAAAAATTATTTTTAAACAAAAATAAAAACCAAATTTATAGTTATTATTATTTTATTGTTTGTTATGACATTTCGTTGTTATGTCGTTATTAGGTTTCACATTTGTGACACCTCTCTCTTTACCAAAAAAAAATAGTTGTCTATGAAGTCATCGAGTCGGACCGCGTAGGTTTTTTCCGCCCCATATTTTTTTAATTCAACTTATAATAATCAATATTTTACATTTATCAATATATATATATATATATATATATCTCGTTCAATATATATTAAAATTTTACTAATTATATTTTATTAAAAAATTTAAATTATTTGAATACTATTTGTTAATGATTCTATTAATAATTAACATTATTTATATAGACAATCTTCAGATCATTAACAAAGATACTCATGTTACTGCCATCGTGTGGCTCCCACACTAATAATGATAGATTTCCTTCAAAACTTTCCTTCCAAATATGGAGGAAATAGAAGGAAAGAAAAGAAAAGAAATAATATATTGGAAAAAAATTATTAAAATTACAAAATTACTCGATCTTTCATATTAAACTAGAAGCGTACTCGCGCAATGCAGCGAGATACATCGTGTTTTTAATATTTCATTTTATTCTTTATCTCAGTCGATGTTATAATATGGCTTTATGTGATTTTGAGAAAGCGATGATTTTTTTTGAATAAAATAT